AGTTAAGTTTAGAAATTAAAACACACTACTATATACGTTATTATTTATTACTTAATTATTTGACGTATTTAGACTAATTAAATTAATTTAAGTAAAACTTTACCTTTCTTGTTTCTTTTTTTTGTTATTAATTAAAGTCTTTTAGTTTTTCTTTCTGTAATAAGGTCGTCTGATAATTATTGTAGAAATATAAAGTTTAACAGTTTATTACATTTGAACATGCTTATTCTCTGCATACAGAGTGTATAACTTGTGTTTACTAGTAAGTATTATTACGGTTATTGGATTTTATTCTTATCTTTTACGAAATATACGTAGTTCATTGAGAACAATGGATTCAATTTGGATACATATATGTGGTTTTGGTTTGGTTTTGAATTTCGCGCAAAGCTACACGAGAGCTATTTGTGCTAGCCGTCCCATTATAACATCCCCACGCTTGAAAGAGCGAGCATGTTTGGTGGGACGGGGATTCGAATCCGCGACCCTTAGATTGCGAGTCGAGCGTCCTAACCACCTGGCCATCCCGGGCCATTTGTAAAAGAAAAAATATGTCTGACAGTTTGTGGCGCTCAAACATGGCCAAACGTGTACTAGTTCAAAAGCACAATGTAACTTATTCACTCACGAAACATTTTTTTTTTGTTGTTGAATTTCGCGCAAACTTACTCGACATATATCTGAATTTGCCGTCTCTGGTGTTGAAATGATTGAGTAGAGGGAAGGCAGCTAATCCACACCACTCAACGCCAACTCTTGGTCTACGTTTTACCAACGAATAATGGGACTGGCTTTAGATTATAACGCCTCCACGGCTGAAAGGGTGAGCATGTTCCGCGAGGGGTATGGATACTATTTATCCTTCAGCCAAGCGAGGCCTACGAAAAGCTTCAAACGACAACTTGAAACTTAAATAGCTTGACGAAAATTCTCCAACATAAGTTACATTTAGTCACACTTGACACGGAAGTTCAACTGTTTACATGAACATGTAAATGACAATTAAAAACTTCAAATGAATTGATAAGAATTTGCCAACAGAGAGAAAAGATATCATTTATTCAGAAATTTCTAAAAGTCATAATTTAGTTTATTTTTTGGTTGCACAATTGTGGTTTATCTAAGAATTAATGAAAAGTTTTTTTTTGCGTTTGTTTCAGGTTTCTCGTTTAACAGCATTCAGCTGGATCACCTCCCTGATAATGAATGTTCCTAATTTTATATTTTATCGAGTAGTGGATGAAGACAAGCGGACAGTGTGCCGAAATATTGTATTTGAATGGCCTATAATATATATTAGAATTTTTTTAACTGGACTGTTGGTTTGTGTTTACGTTATTCCATTAATTGCAATAATAATTTGTAACATCCTGGTTTGTCGTCAAATAAGGAAGTCATTTGCAGTGTATCGCTATGACAACGAAAAATGTCATGGAAATGTTTCAAAGGTTAGTTCTCTTGGATTATGTTTCAGACAGTTTCGTACTTCGACTTTTCATGGCGCAGAAATTAGAGCTGTTAAATTAACTGTTGCAATAATTCTCATATTTCTATTGTGTGAGGCGCCATTTTGTGTCCTTCAGCTCATTCGAGTGTATGGACATCTTCAGGATTCATCCGGTGAAACGTATTCCATTCTTCCTGTGTTCGCTATCTCCAATTCTTCTATTATGCCTTTCGTGTTTCTTGTTTTGTATGCCAAATTTCCTTTTTTTACATCAAGCAGCCAAAGTTCGAGGAAGGAAAACAGCCATAGGGTTTTCATTCGGGATTATATTTAACAGTTTCTAATTTCACTTCAATTAATTTCTAAAAATACGTCTTATATAAAATGCCTTGTTTCTTATTATCTTACGTATTTCTAAACCAATGTAGCTAGGTATTTATGATTATTGATTAAATAAAAGATATTCTATTAAAAACACAAAATTGTTAAGTTTGATAATGATGAAAATTTACTAAATTCCTTTAAAATTTTCATTTATCTTAGAAACGTTATATTGTATGTTGTATTCCGTGATATGTGATTCATACATTTCATCCAAATTTTTGTTTTTGCAACAATTGAATCTAGAAACGTTAATAATGTTTAGAATGCCTTAACATCTTATTCTGTATATACTATTATATCTATAAGTATGTACTTATACTAGTAATTTTTAAATGCATCTAATTTTTCATTGAAATAAAAATTTCACTCAATGTAGCATAGATTTTGTAAGATACAGGAAGATGTGTTGCTTAATTATAACTCATTTGTCGAAAAGTAATTTATGCTACTGGTTCAAAGATATCGCCAGAGGATGATGATGATGACGAATGCAATATTTAAGTTCATTGTAAAGATATCTAATTGGATTAAAATCCGATGGTTGTACTGACCTGAGGGTATGATGAAGTAATTTCTATGTTCTATCACCGAGAATATTTGTGATAACGTAACTCATTTGAAAATAATGACAATGACTTCATGCTTGCGTAGCAGGATAAAGATTGCAGCTAATTTGCTAATGAAAGTAAATGTGTCAGAAGAAACAGAAACAAATTTTGTTCTCTTACGTTTGTTATGTGTGTACAAATCGACAAAATGAAAAACATAAATCTATTCATTTTCATGGTTAAAATAAACATTGTTTTACTTCCTATATAGTTAATGTAATGTATTTTGCTAGAGATGTACAGTCAACACTTTACTCAGGACTCATGCTATATAACACTGTAAACAGATTGGGCTCCGCTTAGTAAAGATACAGCATCTACCATCTCCTTCTCTTCCACATTATGGATAGATTTACTTAGGGGAAGTAGAGCTCCTACCACCTCCTAATATCCCTTACTATATACAGATCGGATACCATTTAGACAAAATGAAATACCTTTAATCTCATACTCTTTTGAATACATTTGCTGCTACGTAGGGAATATACAGTACATACCACCTCCTACTCTCCTATATCATCGATAAATCTGCTGTCACTCAGGGAATATGCAACTTCTACTATCCCATACTATATACAGATCGGACACCAGTTACATAAAATGCAACACCTGCCATCTCCTACTCTACCACATTATTGACAGATTGATTGTCGATTAGAAAATATACAGCACTTACCACATCCTCCTATCCCCGCTACAGATCGGTCATCATTTAAAGAAGATACATGCACCTTTTTTCTCTTACTTTCGCACATTATGGACAGATTGACCATAACCTAGAGAAGTAATAGTACTTAATATATCCTATTAACCCACAATATGGACAAATCATCCACTTCTGTTACCAAACAGAAAAGTAACTAGTGAAGATTTAGAACAAAGCCATTGCTTGACCCTAAAAAGGTTGTAAAGAAGACGATGAAAACGAGAGTTAAAACTGTCCTTCAAAAAGGATGCCTTAGAAATAAATAAGCTGCTTCATTGAAAGAATTGGGAGGGAAAAGACGTTAAGCACATAATGTAATAGAAATCATGCAAACATATTTTGTACATACATGAACTTCAAAACAAGAAGATACATCAATTAAAAATTGATTTTATCACCTTACTTATATTGACCTTAGCGTCTGTGATAATTTTAGTATATTTAACCTTAGTAATCTAACAAAGAAAAATGATAGGTCTTACATATATATATATATATATATATAGTGTATTTGACATTATATACTTCGTTCGATAAGTTTTTGACGATAAAGAAGCTTATGTAGTCAAGACTAAACTTGTTTATATTTGTCTGGCAAATCTAAGAGAAGTAATTGTTAAAGTGTGTTCCATAACATGCAATGGAACACTTTCTAATCAGGATTTTTTTTATATTTAGAGTTTAATATGATAAATACTTAATGATCTACAGTCTCAAAGTATATGAATTGTTTTTATTTATTTGTATTTTTAGTTATGTTTCATTAATATAAAACTGTTTTTATTTTATTTCTTTATATTATTCAAAGTCCCTCAGTGGTAAGTTTTCAGACTTGAAATTCTGAATCTTTATGGTGGACAGATTACAGATAACAAATTTGGCATTTTTGTACAAAGAAACAACAGGTTATTTTGTTTTAATGAATAAACAGTTTTTATATTTCAGAATTATAGATCATTAAATCTCTACTATATGGCGAACTGTACTCTCAAATAAGCATTACTTAAATTAAACGAAATTTGGAGTGTAAGATCGTCGGTCACAACATAACTTCTAGTGTTTGTTTGTTTGTTTTTCATCAGAACCTTTGGACAAGTTAACGTAATATACGATTCATGTTATATGACAAAATTAGCAAAAAATACTTTATCGACAAAGGACTGTTGCTGACACTTATTGTGAGATCACATTGTATAGTTACATGACTTGCAAGAAGAAAAGGAGGGATCGAAAGTTTGCAAACAAAGAGTGTTTGAAATTCGTATCAGCTCATTCAGTATGTAACCAAAACACAAATATGATTCACCTGCAGATACGAATAAAAAAAGACTATTCTATTTTTTTCTCTTCTTTATTAATTTATTCAACCAGTTTCATGACTTCAAAGGTCACCTTTCAGGATATAATTTTACTGAGAACATATAAACAAAATAAAGTATAACTGGAATAAGATTTTAAGTTAAAAAAGAAATAATTTTATTTTTAAGCATTTATGATATACTTAATTTATACTTTTAGTGTATTATGTGTTTATACATTTGGAATATATTTATTTAACTTATAATAGTTATAGTTAATTGAAAAACGGAATTTCAATATTTTTATTAATTATCGAAATGTAACTTATTTATTCCATAATTTTCAACCTCTTATTTTCTTTTCTGTAAGTCCTAGTAACAGTTTTCAGTTCCACAATCCCTAATAATTTTGCACAATCAGTTACTTTTGCCCTCTTTCTTCTGTCTTTAGTGGATAAATGCATGCTTTGTGAAATATATTTTAAATTTGAAAGGGACTTTGTAGTCGCAATTTAGTTGAAAATATATTAGATAAACCTATATACTTTACGTAAAGCTCGCCAAATTCGAGAAAAAAGGTAAATATTAAAATTAATGTAATTCAGTGGTTTCAGTGAAACAAAACAGATTTATTATTTTATAAAAAAAAGAAATATATAAAACTAACTTCTTTGAAAATTAACAAATACAATATTCTCTACCAAAACGTAATTAAAGTTTATAATTGTTGTTGAGCATAAAGCTACACAATGGGTTATCCGTGATGTGCTCACCAAGGGGATCGAAACCCAGTTTTTAGCGTTGTAAGTATTCAAGACTCACTACTAAGTCACTGGAGGGTAGTTTCTGTGACTAAGCTTTTCTATTGAGTACAAATACACAAGTCAACATTGTATTAGTTGAGAGACTATGAATTAAAACAGTAATTTTTTAATTAAATTCGTTAAATGTTGAAAAAAGTTATTTTAAGCTTTTCTAAACGATTAAAAACATTAGACGACAAATCCTTTATACTCGGGATATTACATTTGGTCTAATGATGATTTCAAAAGAGAAGGTGAAACAAGATGGAATCCTTAATAGCCGCGGCACTTGACATTCTTTTAGGCAGGATTAGAGTAAATTAATCTATGATACTTTTTTTTTCCTTTTCATTAGCTATATTTTTGTGCACTAGCAATACCAAGCGTGGGGCTCGCGTATACTCAATTCAATTTTATTACTCATCAGAATCTTTACCATCCTGCCCTCAAATTATAGGTCTTTTAGGCAGGATTAGATTAAATTAATTTATGAGACCTTGGGCGTGGTCAGATATATTAATCGCAAGGATTTGACCTCCTGAGTCCCAAACTGTAATAAGATCTCTAATCGGTCAAGAGATTACGGAGCCATGAGGTAAAAGTTTGTACTTGGAAAAACTGACATCTATTCAATGACACGCTATGCTGCAGTTGAAAAGAAAATATACCGTGGACTTGAACTCATGCATATTTTGTTTTGTGTATTTAATAATAGAAATTCTTCTCTTCCAAAATAAGAACATTTGGATTTTAATCAAACAACCACACGAGAAACATAATTAGATACTTAATTGCGAACAGTTCGCCATATTAATAAGAGCGAGAAACAAGAAAAGCAATAGGACACATATATATATATTCAATGTAATTAAAGTAAATTGGGTAGGGAAAGTGATATTACAAAATACTCAACAAAAACATTAGAGTTAGACGAATGCTAATAAGATCCAGTAAGTTCAAAAATCGGATATAAAAGCTATAAGAATATTATCTACTTTCATTCACTGCTACTATTACTATGAATCAAACTCTGTAATATACATTCATAGCATATTTTAACTGATGTTATACTTTTATCAAATATTATGTGTTTCTCATATTCTACTAATAATTGTATAAACAAACAGACACCTCTCTCTGTCTATATCGAATTAATTCAGTGTATAAAAATGATATACTGTATAAAATGTCTTAAAGTAAAAATGGTTAATTAGATTTACACCTAGAGCAAATGTTGATTAGGCATTTTTTTATAAAACTAATCGCACTATATTAAAGTAGGATTTATATAATTGAACTAGGATACTGGCTAGTTCTGCCAAACGAAAGATGCAGTTCCATCTACCGATAATGGGGATTCTTTTAAATACTTGAAAGTGATTAAACCACGTTTTGAACTGCGTATAAAGTGATTTCGCTAGCCGTCCCTAATTTAGCAGCGAAAGACTAGACGGAAAGCAGCTAGTCATCACCACCCACCGCCAACTCTTGGGCTACTCTTTCATCAATGAATAGTGTGATTGACCGTCACGTTATAACGTGCCTGTGGCTAAAAGGGCGAGCATGTTTGGTGGGACGGAGATTCGAACCCGCGACCCGCAGACTGCGAGTCGAGCGCCCTA